CTATGTCAACAATCATCAGTTAGGCAAATCTTGCTTCCTCCATTCCATTCTCATTCCTGTACTATTTTGAAGCAAGTCCAAGGTAAATACTTTAAATTAAACTTTTAAATGAGAATCTCTCTCATTTTTAATGTGACCACAGTACCATTTTCATATTTAAAAGTACACTATAATTATTTAAAGTCATCAAATAGCCCTTCTTCACATTCACAATTGTGTCTTACAAAGTTTTTTTTTTTTTTTAATGTGACTGGTTAATAAATGCTTTATTCTGCTTTAATCTTTAAGATGTCCTTTCCTCTCCATCCCTTTCTTTTTCTTCAAAACCTTGTAATTCATTTATTGAAAAAACTGGATTATTCATCTTGCAATTTCCTATAGTCTGACTCTTGCTGACTCCTTACAGTGTCTCTTAGGAGAAAATGAGCGAGGGGAGGGGCGGAAGCACAAGCAGACTCCCCACTGAATGAGGAGCCATGGTGGCTCCCTCAATCCCAGGGCCCTGAGATCTTGACTTAAGCAAAATCAGACACTTAACCAACTGAGCCACCCAAGTACTCCCAACTTGTCATTTGTAAATAAACATAGTTTTACTTCTTTCTTTCCAATTCTTATGTCTCCAAATCTTTTCTCTTGTCTTAATGCATTTCTGAATTGTAGCAGAAATAATAGGTATGATTTTCCTATTCCTCACTTTAAACTTTCAGCATATGTCACCATTAGGTTAGATACTGGCTTTGGGTTGAGGTATACACATACACACATACACATAACCATACTAAGGAACTATCTGTCAGTTCTCATTTTGTTGTACTTTAAAAAATATAATAAATGTTAGATTTTGTCAAATGCCTTTTCTTCCATCTATGGATATGATCACATACTTTTTCTCCATTGCTCTATTGACAGGATGGATTACATTAAAGGAATTCCTAATATTGAATGACAGTTTCCTGGAATAAGCCCAATTGACTAAGATGTGTTACATTTTTAAAGTTTTAGCGGATTCTGTTTATTAGCTTCATATCTATAGTTTTTGCATTGATATTCATATATGAGATTAATCTAAAATTTCATTTTTAAAATGTAATGTTTATGATTTGGGGATCAATATTATATTGTATCAGGAAATGAACTTGGAAAGTTTACTTGGTTTACTAAAATCTGAAAAGGTAAAATAACCTTAGGAGTATTTGATAATTTAAGATTTGATAAAATCCTTTCATGGAAATATCTAGGTCTGCTTTCTCTTGGCAAGCTCTTTTAAAATTAAAAAAAAAAAATCTCCATGATGATTGGGCTATTTATCTTTTTGGGGGTCAATGTTTATAAATGATATTTTTCCAAAATTTTATCCTTTTTTTCCAGGTCTTCAATTTATTTATATACAGTTGAGCAAAGTTGTTCTCTTTCTTAAAGATTCTCTATTTTGGTTTTCCAATCTTGTCATTTCTAATTTTGTGAATTTGCTTTCTATTTTTTTCTTAATTAGATTAGGTTAACTAGTGGCTTATATTTTTCTTGATTTAAGAAACATGGCTTTACATTGATTCTTTTATCCTATGTTTTGCTTCACAAACACTGATTTTAGCTTTTGTCATTGTTCCTAGTTTCTGCTCTTTTTTGTTCCTCCCCTGGCTTTTCTTGGCTTGTTTTGTTGTTCTTTCTAGATTTTTTTGTGTGTCATTTGCTTTATTTATCTTTTTATTTTTATTGATATAATGATGGTTTTTATCTGATATTTGCTTTATCAGCCCCTAATATTACATTTTCATTATTATTATTTTCAATAAAGTATGTAATTTTATTTTGTATTCTTCTTTGACTCAACAGCTATTTAACGATATGGTTTATACTTCCTAGGTAAAAGCGCTTCTTGTTTTCTGGTTTTGTTACTAAGTTCTAGTCTATTATATTTCAGTTAGTGAATGATTTTTTAGTGTATCTGTTCTTTAGAATTTCTAGAAGTTTTATCATCTCAGATACAGTAAATTTTGTGAATACATCATACGTACTTGAGAAGAATCTGTATTTTCTATTATTGAAATTCAGGTTTCAAAGTATATTTACAAATTCTATTTTAAGGATTACATTGTATATGTCTTCTATAAATTTTAAATATATAATCTGGCTTGGATTTTAAGAAATGAATTAAAGTCTCCTATTTTTAATATGTTTCTATTTTTCTAGCATTCCCTGCAGTTTCTCTTTGATAAATATTGTTGCACTCTTTTAAAATTTTTAATTTAATTTATTGTTTATTTATAATTTATTTTAATTTAATTTTCCTGATACAATTTGTCCATTCTTTTATTGCCAGCTTTTCTAAATATATTTATTTGTAGTTCTACATCTTAAACACAGAAAAGTGTTGGGTTTTCCTTTATCAGACAATCTGAAAATACTTGCATTTTAATAGGCATTACATCTATTAATATAATCAGTATTTTTTGGAATCTATCATATTTTAAGTGTTATATTTATATATGCTGATATTTTATATTAAGTTTTTCATATGTCATTTTTATGCTTTCCTTTATAGGAAAGTTTTGATTTTTCTTCTTACGCTTTTTATACTATTATTTTATATGAAAATCTTGGTCTTTCCTCTTTTTAGTTGTTTTCTTTTATTCTTTAGTAAAATATTCATTAAGTTTAGTTTGTAATCTTTTTTTTTTCTTCTTCTCCATTTCTCCAAGCAACTATTTGTAGTGGTAACTATGATTCCCAGTTAGTAGCCATGAAACAATCAAAAGTCATTCTATATTGTAAATGTTCTCATTATTGTTCCTTAACTGTTAGATATTTGATGGAACTGTGTTGTCAGATGGATCTGTGTAATCATAGCATGCAGCACTCTTTTCTTTGTAATTGTCATTTCACTTTAATTCCACAGTTACGCTCTCCCCAATTCTTATAATGGTATCTCTCCAGTCATTTCATTCAAGAAACTCATCTAGCAGCTTTCTCAAGAAGTGCTCATGGGAACAATATTCCCTAATTTTTAAATGCTTATAACAGCTTATTCATAGCCTTTATTTGTGAAAATCTGTTTACATGGTTATTAAATGCTTGCCAATCTCCCTTTTTTTCTTACAAACTGAGCTATGTCAGATAGATTATATCTCCTAATATGGTCTCCCCTTATGATACTTAGAAGTTGTAAGGATGAAACCTCAATGTAGATGATATGTATTTATGATATTAATGCTTATGTACTTGGTAAATACGCTATGTATTTATGCTATTATAAATTTATATTTAAATATTCACATATAACATTTATATGTTGATTTTTCAATTATTTAATAGACTATGTTACAAGACCCAGGAATCAAAGAAATCACATTTATTAGAAGACACAATATTTTTTCCTCTAAAATTCCACTGATTCCTTGGAATTCCATTGCCTTCTTTAGATATTGTACCTACAAACATATCTCTTCTTGCTTTGCATTGTAATTCATTAAAATATTTTGATATTTCTTATTGGAGTGTGATTTCTTTGAGGGAAAGAGATTACACTTTCCTCCTGTTTTTCCACCAGAGCCCAACACAATGCCTAGAATAAGAAGTGGATCTGATTTGTATGCGTTTAATTGAAACAGGGTCCGAATTTCAAAATACAGGCAAAGGATTATTTTTCAAGTATAGGTGTGATAAATTATAGTCTCCAAGTGTTGATTTTATTTCCTCATGTAGCCTGGAGACTCTCAAAAGAGAAATCTAACAAATCGCATCCTGTATGCTGAGTCTTGGAGCCCAGCAAAGTCAAGGGACTATGAACACACCATGACAAGTCCCAGAGCTCCAAGTAAGAGGTGAGACTGGAATACATGGAAGCGAGTACATGACAAAATGGGGTGCCAGATGTTGAAATTCTTTGTAGGGTTTGCTGAGGAGTTTTCTTTCATCTTGTAAGCAATAGGAACGTTTCACCAAAAGATTATAGTGTTAAATGATCCCCCTGGTAGCAGAGCAGAGGATACATTGGTGCTTAAAGAGGTAATCATGGTGGTAGAGGTGGAGATGAAGAAAGACTGGATGACAAAACAAATGTGAAAAAGAAAATGTAGGCCAAAATTAGGAAAGCCTTAAAGGGAAAAGATATTTTGGAGATACTTGAAATACAAAGCAAATGGGATATGAAGAATTTCATGAAAAATGGGATGTTTAAAGTAAACAAAAGGATTCCTAGTTAATTCCTCAGATTCCTGGCATTGGTAGTTGGGTGGTCTCTTATGCCGTCGCTAATATCAAATGTATGGCATCAGGAACAAAGACTAAGGAGGTAGAAGATGAATCAAGATCAAAATGACTGCTTTAAGTTGCTGATAGTTACACAATGATTAAAGGGAGTTTTGATTACTCTAATTCTATTATAATAACAGCTTACAAAGTACTCATTTGAGTTTTTATAGAGGTTAAATAATTATCCCCGTTTTACAGATGAATAGGCTGAGGATCACAAAGAGTAAGATTCTTATACAAGTCATATGGCTAGAAATGATCAGAAATTTGATTTAAATGCACATTTTCTGACTCCAAGTCCTGAGAGATCTTTACTACCTCTTAGTATATGAGAGTGGGCTCATTCACACATTTTGGCAGCTTTGTATCATAGGTGAAAATAGAAATGGAATTTTGGTTACCTTGTTATATTGAGGACTTGAGTGGCTATAACATTTATCCCATAATACACACATTCCCCCCTCATCTCCCAATGCTGTAATGTCTTATAATAACTATTTCACATTTGCATGCAATGGAAGCTTCCTTAGAAAGGTATGACAAAATATTAATGCATACTGTAGCAGTCATTTTCCTTCCTAAACCATTATTTTCAAAATCATACTATTAAATTCACAAGTTAGCTAAAACCCTATCAAATATGTTTACCTACAAACTTTTCATTATATTTTTTATGTGGAATTCTGTTTCTGAAGTTATAGCGGAAAAATTAAAAAACAAAAATATTCCTCATCCAAGAGTTCACTTACCTCTGTTTACCTTTATGATTGACAGAGCCAGCAGAGAGTCTGTCCAGGGGAGACCCAAAACCCGAGAAGCTCCTTTTCTTCTTTGTTTCAATTACATCATTCTCCAAAGACACAAGTTCATCAAGAAGCAAGAGTTTCGCTGCCAGATTAGTAGCTGACTTCTCTTTCCTGACTGTGGATGGTGACTGCACACTTATGATTCCAGAATCAAAAGCCTATAGGGCAAGAAAGGTGATTCCATTTGTTCAGAAAAAAAACTCAAAATATATAATCACCTGCATTTGGCTTTTGCTATCTTTAGCTGACATGTCTGTCATGAAACTTGATTTTTTGTAGATTTACGTCCCAAGAAAAAGACTTCTGGGGACAAAAATGTGTAGAGATGAGGTATATCTAAACACAATTAAAACCACACGTCGACACAGATGCACACACACACATGCAAACACCTAAGAGAAAAGGAAAAACCACAGGCCTGCCTCTAAAATTTAGTACATTAACTAATCATTCTTTTAGATTCTTTCCCAGTAACAGCTGCATCCTTCCTTAACATTCCCATATCATTTTACCTATCTTTCATCATTGTACACATTACATTTTTCCTTATATTAGATTAGTTACAATATATTTGCATTACTTATTAGATTGTGAGTAACCTGAGGGAAATACCTATGTCTAATTAGTCTTTTATTTATTCACTCTAGTCAATGCTTAAGCCAGTATTTTGCTCACAGTTAGTACTCAGTAAATTTCTGAATATTTACTGAATGAATTTTGAAAATGCAAATGTCATCTTTCACTAGTCATTCACACCTTATTGATTCAAGCCATTAAGTACCCACTGTGTACCAGGTTCTGCATTAGACCTGAGGGATACAAAAATGAACAAAATCCAGGCTCTACCCTCAGGAAGCTTACCATCTCTCCGTGTGATGTATTACAAAACGTTAATGAGTGTCTACAGTGAGTCAGAACTATCCCAATGACTGTCCTCCCACGTAAAATTTCTTGTTTATTACACATATTGCCACTTCACACTTCATCCAAGGCACAAAAGTGCGGGTGTCACCTATGAAGCCTGTTTTTTCCTTTCCTAAGCCTGATCACAGCATTAAAAAAAAGTTCCTATTAACGGTCTCTAGTCATTGTGGAGTCTGGGGCCTATTGCTTCTTTCCTAAGAAAGTGAGAATATGGCCCTGTGGGAAGAAACTTGCTCCAGAGACCTCCTCCCTGCTTCCCTTTTAGTCACATTCCTCCTCAAGCCAGACTCTTGGTCTTGGCAAGACTCTTTTTCTTCACTTCCTGTCTTTCTTCTTAGATTATTTCTTCCATTCTCTTTCTATGTTCTTCATTTTCCCCAGTAAAATGAAAGAGTGGCATTTCCAAGCCTTTTCATCATGGGCTTCAGCAACTCTCTTGTGAAATACATACAGTCTGACACTGAGACCCAAAGCGATTGAGTCTGCTGTTTCCTAAACCAATCAAATTTGCACTAAGTCTAGTCAGTTCTTCCCGGTAAACCTGTCTTGCTCTTTCTGATTCCCTTCATTAGTGAGCCATATCAGCTCCCCTTCGCTGCTTAGTGCATGTACACTCTTAATGACCTCATAACCTGCTTCTCTACCCCCATCGCCCCTTTTCTCTTTTGCCAGGAAGCTAATTATCCCAAACACACTCTCATCCAGTAGAATGAAAATCAGAAATCTCTCATAGCTCTTGTTATTTACAATGTAGACTCCACAGGGTCCACAAACTCCTCTTAAAACCTCAACGTCTATCACTCTCCTACATACGCTTGACAACACAGAAATTGGGGAAGGGAAAGACATTGTAATCATGAGAAAGAAACTTTAAAGAGCAGCAGACAACTTTCAAAGGGCAAAGATGGGAGATCTTTTATCTCTCAGTGCATCCTCCAAAAAGTATGCTTTCATTCTTCAAACTCCTGCACATATAAAATAGAGTTTGTTCATTTTTAAAGATAATCTTAATCGCCTGGGGGGGAAATCATGGAACTCAAGTAAAATGCACTTCAGATTCTTACTTGTTTTTTGTGAAATACAGAGAACACTTTCTAGCAAGATCAAATGAGCCAAATTAACATTTCTCTGTCTAGCGAAGTCTGGGCATTTATTTTTCTTTGTACTTTAGTCATGGCAGCAAGAAAACATTTGTATAGTCATACAAAGTTTGGCCAAAGCAATTGATTTAATTAAATATATGGTTGAAATGATAATGAATTTTCTTGTAATGCTTTTTCATTCAAGGAATACACATCTTTATTACTTCCAGCTTATTTTTTGATAGTCAGATAACTGGCCTTCTCTGAATCTATAGGGAGGTCAAAACAATAGGAAAAAAAAAGTATCTATTTCCTTGATTTTGTGTTATCAAGGCATCTCTCTATTTGTCAGCAACACCTACTTCTGACACTAGTAGAAATGGCTTATGTTCATAAAAAATACATGGTCCCTTAAGCTAGTTTTCATTACCTCTGTTGCTACATCCACTGAGTGTACTTTTCCTGAACTCCACAGCATCAACGTCACAGCCAGAATAAAATGTGCGTTTGCCAATCTCCAGTCCGGCATCTGAGGGTCACATACATCAGGTCAACATTTATTACTTTGGCATATAAAGATAGAACACAAAAGCTCCAGTAAAGCTTGTTAGTTGCAGATGATAAATGAAATTATTCAGCTTCTAGGTGCTGGAGTACATCTCTGCAAAACTTAAATAATACTTCATAGAAGCTGTCAGTCTCCTGGAATGAATTCTATTAAGGCTTCATTTCCATGGAAACCTAGGCTGGGGTTGTATAACTATAATCATAATTTGAACTAGCCAAAGTCTGAGAAATCTGGTTTGTATAATCTTATTCTTTGACTAATCCAAGGATTATAACCTCATATATGCAAGGGAAATGTATGAAATTGACCAGGTATTAGAAAATAAGGTCCAGCGAGGTCTGTGTGAACCTGAGAAAATGCACTGTGTCTAAAAGCATTTACATTCACAAATTCAAAAACACCACATATCCAATAGGCAAATATATTTATGTCCTTGTGTTATGTAATGATTTTTTAGATTCAAATGGTTCAAAATGGAATATATTTTCAACATAATATATAAATGAGAGATTACCATTTGAAATATTTAAAAACTGATATATAAAATTAAAAAAATAAGAGTGAATTAATGATTAACTAAAAAATGGGACAAAGTTATGAATAGGTATTTCATAGAAAAGGAAATAACCTCATGAAAAATAAGCATCCAAAAATACATCATCCAAAAACACATATAACTTATTTAATGTAAAAAAAGAAAGACATGTATCAGATTGGCAAAAATTCAAAGTGAACGTTGTGAATGTTAAAGTGGTGTTTGGAAACAGAGAAACACAAGTGATGCTGGTGGGGTTGGAAATGAATGCAATCATTTGGAAAAAATTAGACAATACCAGAAAAGTGAAAATGATCATGTTCTACTTTTAACCTATTTATTTCACTTCTTGATATATACTCCAAAGGAACTCTTACATGTTTTTATGGAGAGATATATCTGAAAGTTCACAGACTCATTGTTTATAGCGGCAAAAACTGGAATCTACCCAAGTACTCTACTCAGGAGGAAAAAGGTTTATCAATTGAGGTACATCCATAGTATGGACTTAGAACAAATGGCTTAAATGTTATGTGTATTTATATGCATGGATTTCAAAGAAAGTCACTTTGGGGGGAAGTGGGAAGTTGTAGAACAATATATAGGACATGCTACCATTTACCTAAATTGCAGATACACAAAATAATTTTATGTATTTTGAAATCTATACACATATTTAAAGTATAAACAAATGGAACTTGATTCATGACTATGATTCCCTCTTTGGAAGGAAGAAAGTAAATAAGATTATGGGAGAAACATAAGGACTTAGTTGTTTTGTTTTGTTTTTTCCCAAAGATTTTATTTACTTATTTGACAGAGAGAGAGACAACAAGAGGAGCTGCAGACAGAGGGAGAGGGAGAAGTAGGCTCCCTGCTGAGGCCAGAACTTGATCCCAAGATCATGGGATCATGACCTGAGCCAAAGGTAGACATGCAACCGACTGGGCCACCCAGGTGCCCCGGGACTTAGTTTTAATCTATCTATATATATATATTTTAAAGCAGGTATGTCTAAATAACACATTTGTTACTTCTGTGTACTAATCACAAAGATATGTCATTTATACATTTATGACTTTCTATATTAAAAAATCACTATATAGATACTTAAAGTGAATCTATGGTCTATATTGGGTCTGCTAGATGCCAGTTTGACTGCCAGAAAAGGGAGGTGTTGCCTGGTTTAGGGAAGATTGCAGGCTGTGGGTTACAATAGAATAGGCTTGACGTCACCACTTGGTACATGGTATTGGAAAAGTCCCCCCCACAACCTGTCAACCAGGTCATACATTATGAATGAGAAGTTTCAGGAAACTTTTATTTCCAAAAAAAAGTCATTTGGAAAGCTGCTGGGATCAAAAAGGATGGGCTGCTTAGATGGATCTGAGGAACTGGATTTGAGTCTCCTTGTGGCTTCAGTATTAGTGATGTTGGATGTGCGATACTTTATCTAACTGAGCTTTGTTTTTAGTATTGATGAAGCAAGGCGTAATTCTCACCTCAAAAGAGCTTTGATAGGATTCTACTGATTCGTGTAAACTTCTTTATCCCATAATATATTTATCATTTTAAGTGAAAGAACACTGATGAGATATTACTAAGTATTTCTTTAGTAAATACATATGCTTTGGTGTGACCCAAGATTTTTTTATGACTTCCTTATAATTCTGTTACTGTGAAATCTCATTGTAGATTTTAGCAATAAAATGTTGTAACATTGTAAATTTGTTGTAAACAAAAATTGTCTTAAAATTGTAAAATGTTGTAACATAAAATGTTGTAACATTGTAGATCTAGCAATAAAGACTATCTGCTAGAATATAGACAAATAAGTGTTTTCTTATAGACAGGGTTGCATCTGTGTGAACCATCTCTATTAACATTTAAAATAAAAACATATTTTAGCGATGTTGATAACATTTATCAAATATAATTTCAGTTTTCATGTTATGTTGTCTAAACTAGTTCTTCAGTATGCCACCAATAAATATTTTGGGCTCTTGTAATGTCAATCACTAGTTTCTTCTCTATATGCCACCCTTTCTGGAAGGGTGCAGTAAATTCTCTGTTCTCTTTCAGACAAATTGATATCTGAGCTGAGTATTTTTATAAGTATCAAAAAGTAATAAATCATGTCGATGACTCTAAATTGAGACAGTAGAAAGATAACAAGAAAGAATATAACAGTTATCTGGTAAAAAGATGAACAAAAAGCGCATTACCTATTCTTCAGAACATGTGTCACAGAATTGTATTTTTTCCCCTTCTGATTATGATGATGTCTCTTTAACTTCCCTCAATGTAAAGGAAGATCTATCAAAACTTTAACTATTTTAAAAATGATTTCATATTTCTGGCATATCTTTATTTCTTAAAAATAGCTCTTTCATTCAATCAAAGATAAAGTACAATTGTGATGTTTTCCTCCCTCATTTTTTTTATCATGTTGAAAACAGTTTACAAAGTGTAAAACTGCCCAGTTTTATAAGTCTTGCCATGCGGATTTCCTTTAACTATTTTTATGTATGTTTCACAAACCAGGTTTCTCTTCATTTCTTCAATATTATAAATGGCACAGGATGATGGACATTTATAATATTGATGATTATGTTTGAGGCATATATTTTTGTGCTTGGGTGTTTACAGGAAAAAAGTTATAATGTATCATCTTACAGATAACCACATCCTGATTATTTGGATAGGGGGATGTAAAAATAAGTGCTGAGTTTAAATACACACATTTAATGGTTTAAACCCATGCTTGTAGCCAGTTAACCAAAAGGCCAAGTTCCTAAATATGGCAGTTGGTACACTAATGAAAACAAACACCCTGGCACCTGCCACACAAAAGACATTTGATTAACTCGTTGAAACTTGATTGCCACGAAATTAGAAACAGAGGAAATTATAGGGAGGGAAGGGAAAGAGTAGGTTCAGCTCCATTTCCCTATTTTGTTGATACTGGATAAATATAGCCCATGATTTAAAATCTAGTATGCCCCATGTACACTCCAAATCACAGAAAGAACACTGAAGGATGTTCATTATAGGAATACACCAGAGTGGAGATGTTTGCAAAGTTTTCAGGACATCAGTAATTTGGACTGAGCGATTTTTGAATAATATTCCTCTGGCTAGTGAGGAGCTTCAACAGAGACAGTGAGCATGGGATCTGCCTTACAGAATTAGGCGCTTCCTCTACTTGTTGTTAGCCCACTGGTTTACTATGTTCTTGCATTTTCACTTTTTAAATAATATTGCTGAGTAAACAAATATTCATGTTGTGTAACTTCTCAACCTTTGTTTTAAGGACCTTTCCACATGTCAAAATTATAACCCAAAGGGATCCTCCAAACTCTAGCTGGAATGGTAGTGAGGAGAGCAAGGTTGTTGGTGTGTGTGTATGTGTGTGTGTGTGAAGTTTCATCATTTAAGTTTTGGAAGCAACGCATATTGTATATTCCTTAAAGGATCATTGAACATGCATATTGGCCTATTAAAGGCTCTGAAAGTACAGTAGCCAAGAAATTATTTGATTATATTTAGGCTAGAATTAAATGAGAATTCTGTTAAAATGAGGAAAGATGTTTGCATTGTTAAGAATCAGTGAGGTAATGAGTCATTGTTCTTACTAAAAAAAATCTCACAATTGGGCTGAAGCAGAAAAAAAGAAAAGATCAAGAACCACAGATCTAAAAGAGAGAGCAAACAGGAATCAGAGGAGGTGTTAGAGTAAGAAGTTAAACTGAAAAGAGAAAGAGTGTGAGCCAGTATCTGATTGCATGCACTTTTTAATCACACTTTTAAACTATCTATCTTGAAGGTTGGTGTTGAAAAAAAACAAACTACTCTGGTGATTTAGGAAATTTCCCTTCAACCTGAGTCTTTGTCATTAATGTCTGACTAATGGATAGTAGATCTATTAGAAAGTCTCAAGAGTACTGAGTTTGGGAATTTTTAATTTACTCCAGTAACTTTTGGGATTTTTAAATTTACCCTAGTTACTTGATTGGAAATATTCAAAATAGACTTTACTGCACACTTATTTTCAACAAAAACTAAGAACAAAGGGCTTAAAGATAAAGGATAAAAGACTTACAAAGCAATTAAAACTTTACATTTAAGTGTGATTTAACAGGACATGTAAAGTGTCCCTGGTTCCAACACTATGAAATGACCCTATGTGCCTTGCCCCCACCCCCCTAGACACATACACTACTCACTGTCTTGTTAGAAAGTGATGGTGGGTATCTAAGCAATTGGTGTCAGCTTGGCCCTGAGTAAATCTATAAAACAATAAGTTCAGTGTGCCCGGCACCATGCTCCATAAGTTATAGTCATCCAGGTCTTTTTGTAAACAAAGGAAAGCTTCAGGAAGAGTAGATAACAGAGTGACTATCTTTTTTTTTTTTTTTTTTTTTTT